GATCTGATAGACATAATATTTTAAGGAACCATGGCAACCACTTTGAGCCATAATTTTGCTCGGCACTGGCAGCGTTCCGGTCAGAATTTCTTTTCAAGATTATGGGAAGTGGAAATGGTATTCAGAATTCCGCTTCCACTTTTCCAAACTTAGATTCCATTCTTTCCGTTGGCCACTTCATCTCACCTGTTTTCTCAAATCACAGGACGCTCTCAATTTTTCTCTAAAACTTTTACCCCAAATCCGACCCCCCCCCCACTTCATCATCTATTTGTTTGCCTTTTGATTTGGAAAGTCTCTACAAGTTACAATGTTTTTGTTTTTTTTTTCATTTTGGCTTCTTCTGCGACATTTTGCGTGTCACTTGGATTCCTTTTGTACTTTCTTTTATGCGATTTTATTTTTAATATTAAGTATGTTTCGACTAATTACTAGAATGTTCCGAAAGTAAAATCGAATTTTGTACGAAACATACGAAGGCAAATAAAATTAATTTAAATTTCACCACTTAATATTTAGCCTTTTGGCAGCATTTTCAGAAGGGTATTGAACTAATAATTTGTTAGAACTTCTTCAGTAATTCTGAGTAAAGGTAATATTTTTCATTCCTCTCCAATAAATTTGGGCTTATGTATTAAAAAAAAAAAAAAAGACTCGAAATGAGGTCTTCACTATTTCTAAGTGATTTTAGGGCTTTCATGAAGACAAATTTGGCAGGTCTAGTTTAAGGACAAATTGACGAATACTGCAAATGTGTAAGAGTTACCTACGACTCACGGATTAATGTCGGGCTTAATATTGTAAAGCAAAATTGGCACATTTTCCTGTAGCGAATGCTGCACGGATTTAGAGTAACCACGACCTCCATTTTACTACATTGACGATTAGATAGAATTGAATTTATGCCTGAATAAAAACTAGACAGAGGGAATCCAAAACCTGAAGGGCCGAGGATTGGATGATTCTTAAACTAAATCTAGGACTCAATGTTTAAATTTGATTTGACAGTCGTTGGTTGACTCTAAACCTATTTTTAAATACAATATTATTTCATGCTATAATTTTAATTTAAGCAAAAATGTTGTTTAGCAGCATATCAACTCCTATCGGTCATTTAATGCCGAAAACTAAATAATTTGAACATAATTTTATGGCTTCAAATAAATCTATTTTAAACGTAATTGTATGCCTACACCTACATATAAGATGTATTACTGTCATTTTACTTTCAAAAAATTGTTTCTTTAGCGGTATATCAACTCTTTAGGGGTCATATCGAAATTTAATTTTCTTAGGATTTTTAGTAATTTCTTTTATAAAAATGTATTGTTGATATTTTCACTATAAAAATCTATTTTTATACTGGCGTTTTAGGAAACACGGTAGAGTAATGGGTAGCGGCTCGGATTGAGGATACGATAGAGTCGAATTCCAGGCAAATCCATTACATTCACTTACGTGCTAATACCCTCGGGAAAGGTATGAATACTTTTCTTCTCGCCCCAGCTATAGATAAATAGCAGGGCAGACCGAGTTCTGTAGCCTTGGATGGTAACTGGTCTACTGCAGAAAGAAAATCTGCCTCGTCAGTCATGTATCGAAAGATACATCATCGCTTAAGCGTGTTTCACGCATGGCATATAACTGACTGAGTGTTTTGACCGAAATTTGGGGTTTAACTATTTGCCCATAGCTGAGACGCTAACAGGTACTCCCAGCTCGGTCAGAGAGAACTTGGAAACAACATCAATTAAGAGGTGCTTCCACCCTCCTCAAAACCTCCTGATCAGAGGCCGTGCTGCCGGATGTAGTTCATTTTCATACGCGGGCCTATTTAGCCAAACGGAATCGGATCTATGAATATTCAAGTTCAATGAAAAATAACAGGTGAATTGGTAATCTTTAAATCTGAGTGTGAATTAAGCAGCATATTTTTCGCCTACTGTTTCTTGCATCTTAACTTCAGTTACTGGAAAGAGCAATAACAGTTACTGGACTTGAGAAAAAAGTTTTCTTGAAAAATAAGTTTAAGAAAAAGCTTTCATAATTTTTAACCCAGTATAGCACTGGATGAATGCCGAATGTTTCCTTCAAAACATTTAATATTACCATTTTATGGCAGCTTCCAGATCACTATTAGTAGGCAATACAGACCCAAAAACTATACTGGAATTCGAACTTGCCTCCCTTTTACTTAAAAAGCTTTTCTTTACGTCACAGTTACTAATTATGCCCCCTTCACTATTCTTTATCTTCCACGATCACGTGATACATTGGCATCCAATAATAGTATTAGCAGTAATATTATTTTTGAGAGTTGCGATGAAAACAATTTAAATTATTTCAAAAGAAAGTATTCTGTTACTTCTAGCCAAGTAATTATCAGATTTAATAGTATCTATAACATAGTTGTTGTTTTCATCAGCAGATAGCCATCAACGTTCTGCTCAATATCAACATTATTATTATTGTTATTATTATTATTATTATTATAATTTAAACCCAGTTTGAATCAAATATTCCAATTACTTTTGTTTGAATGAATAATGTCTCGAAATATCCATTTTTGTATAGATACGAGGGATATCATTTTGTTTTATGACACTTTCTGTTTATGCCTCAAGCAGTTTTAAAACACAACAGAGATAAACTTATATCAACAGATAATCCTTACAATCAGCTCGTACGCTTCTTCTATATGCCACGTCCTTTCAGGGAATAGTCGATCATGCCTGACATCGCCTTCCTATCCCTTGTGGCCCTTATTAGCTTTTCTACATTTGCTAAGGTTCCCATCACCTCGTCCCGCTACTCATTCCCACAAGCTCGTCAAGTGGCACGCTGCCTATCCCTATCTCTCTTGCCTTAAATATGCCCCGTGAGGATTAAGTTTTCCAAGCCCTCTTTTCTCATTATGCTATCCAAGGAATTTCATCTGTACTTTCCTGATTCTGAGTAGAAGTGTTCTTTCTGTTGCCATTTTCTTTAAGACTTTCTTGTTGCTTACTCGCTCCGTCCATGGAATTTTCAGTATCCTTCTGTAGAAAAATATTTCTGCGATTCCATTTATCCTGCTTGTCCAGCATTCTCTGCTATATAAGAAGATGGATAACATATAGCAATCCAACACTCTTTTCTTTGTTTCTAACGGAATTTTTCCGTTTCTCAGCACTTAGCTTAACTTTTAGTAGTTCATAAACCTATTTTTATATACTTTGAGGTGTTTTTAAACTTTGAAAACAAACTGCTGGTCATTTTGCTGTGGTCAATTTTAAGAGTAGACCCACTAAGAAAGGCAACATTCGCAATTCCATTAAAAGGGCCCCCCAAACACTAAACAAAGTTTTAAGAGACAGGAAATTTTAAGAATTCAATCCCAAGGCTGGGTAATACTTGTCTTCAGTGTAAACAGTAGTATTAAAAAGAGAATAGGGCGAGATATCCCAAGAGAGACGAGAACAATCTACCTGTGTTGATTAAATAAAGAGTTCATTTCAAAGCTCACTGAACGTTACGAGACACCTGAAGAAGCGTTGTGATAGCGAATATAAGAAAATTATTTCTTTATAGCTGCTTCTTGTAAGTTTTAACACAGTACATGTGTGTGTGTGTGCGTGTGAGGACATTGCATGATGATTAAAGATATTTATCTATATAAATTGTACTCTTGAGAAAACCTCTAAAAAAGCTAGATCAAAACGTAATAAAAACAAATGCAACAAAAAAAAAATATGGTCACTAGTCTCAAAAACTCAAGAAATAATAATTTTGTCTATTTATACATCTTCCTTTTTGTTGCGTTAAATAACTCCGGGTTTACGTTATATTCACTTACGCGCAAATACTCTTCGGAAAAGTATGAATGCACTTCTCCTCCTACCTATGGGTTAATTAGTAGGACGTATCAGAAAATCATTCTTATCACCAAAGAAAACACTGGAACAAAAGATTAGTGAAAAAAATTGTTTAATAATACAGTACTAGCGAATATCATAATTAGTACGATTTTTGTTCGACTACTTTCATAGACAATGGAAGAGGCCATGTTCAACCATTTAGCGTAGCAAATGTCGATTGTTTTCAACAAAACAGATTTTGTGGTATTTGATCTGCCACCTGTTTACTCAAACTATCAAGTCGGTTACCCCTGATCGCTTGCTTTTGATCTGTATGTATTCAATTCCCCAAACATTCTGCCGTCGTTATATAACGAAAAAAGATTCAGCTATAGCTTTTTTAGTGTTACCTAATATTTTCTTTGTAGACGCAGTTCTTCTTAAAACTTCCTTAATAATTGCGGGTATAATGGCATTTTGTCGCTTCAAGTATTTTCTTCGTCTATGAGAAATCTGTCCAAAGTTTATTGACATGTAAAAGCTAACATTATTATTACATAATAACCGTCTTCAGTCTGTTAATACTTTTCTCAGTTTCTGAAAGGCATTTGACAATT